CGGCCACGATCACAATAATAATAATAATTATTATTATTAGCAACAACAGGAAACGAAGAAAAAAAAAACCGTACACATGGAGAGATACACGCACTCAACATACAACGTGTAAGAGAAGAGAAGAAAGAGAGAAAGAATTAACGAAAATGAGATCCCCAATCTAATAATTATAATATAATAAATCTTTCTCACCGCCGCTCGATTATTATTTAATTCTTCGGCGTTCTTTATTCCATCCGATTCGCGTTTCGGAATTCTCACCTTCTTTTTGTCTCTCTTTCTCTTCATCTTCCCGAATGCAGCAATAATGTGATTGCTATTGATGCCATTATATTGCCGTTCGTTCGTTCGTACGCCATCATCCGTGTTGTTGTTGTTGCTGTTGTTGCCGGGCCATTGTTCGTTTTGTAATTAATTAGCGCGGCCGTAATTAACACTTTCCGAGGCCCCCGAAATGATTTATCGTTCGCGTCCTAAGTGATATTTCATGTAATTATTTATTTGCGTTTCCAGGGAGCGCGAGAGACATAGAGTGTTTGTGTGTAAGAGAGAGAGAGAGAGCGCGAGAGAACTAAACATCAATTAATAACGGGACGAAACGAATTGAATACGCGCCGTATTTGAATTTATTCAATTTATGTTATCATACCATTATCAATCTAACTGGACGACGATGATGATGATGACGACCGCTAAAACAACAACAGCTGCACGAATCTCTTTGCTAAATCATCGACATGTGACGCCATCTGCCGACGGGCGTTGCGAACGTGCATCGCGCTTGGACCAATCACCGCGCGAACCATTCGATTCCACATCTGGGATTGGTGCAAATCCCATATTTCACACCTCGCATTCCTACGCGAATACAATATTCTGCTCATCATCGTTTAGGTAATTAAGTTAAGCATCGCCTATAGCCGGATATTACATGAACGGGCGATACTGAAATCTGTCAAAATACATTAAACTAATTAAAAAAAATAGTTAATGATGGCACAACATTTGCAGGTAGTAAAGTAATTGGAAAAGATGCGATGGACACGCAAAACTATATAGTTGAACCGCATTCAGGATATATTTTCTTGAAAATTATCATTTCGTTCGTACTAATAATGCGTTTTATGGTTTCTCGGATTTAATTATCTCCTCTCCGCCGTTTTAATCCCTCTCTCCAGCGAAAGATGCTGCACTCTGTGCGCTCGGTTCTTTCTCATCTTCATCTTCTTTTTTTGTTGTTGTTGTTGATGTCTGTCTTCATCAAACTATTTCTCTCTCCTTCTCTCTTTTTATTAATAATGAATTTAATACTTCCACGGCGCGAGAGAAGCATATGCATTTTTAACTTGCACTCGTAAACAAATTTAATGGGGATTGCCGGAAAAAGTTCGCTTTAAAATAATTTTACGCAGAACGGCGACGGCGGCGGCGGCGGCGCTCTCACAGCAACAACGACAGCAGCAAAAAAGTGTAATGAAAAGAAACACACACACACACACATCAAAAAAAAAAGAAGTAAAATTGATGAAGAGACACGAACTAAACCTCTTACAACGAAACAGAATATTGTATGTAAAACTACCACCAAATCATTTACAAGAACATTCAATAAGAAAGATTGTATTTATAAAAATCTGTTAAAGTGAGCTGTACGACTCGTTCGAACTACTACTACTACTATCTTTGATATCGAGTTTAAAACTAAAACTTATTGCTTCTGGCGTGTTGCTCGAGATGAAAAGCCTCCTAATCCTGGCGTATAAAGAATGTCTCGTGTAAGATTTCAATTTATTTCGTCCGGTGCGCGCAATCCGCTTGGATTGAGGCCAGTTTCATCCTTCTCACCGCGTGCTTTTTTCGTAAATCTCTTAAAGCGCATAAAGTATATATATGCATGCATGCATGCGTGTAGGTGTGAAATGAGTTAAGGGGACACACTGGATGTGCGATCGTGACCAAGTGGGGGCCCCGATAATTCACGTGGAAAAGAGAATATGAAGAGAATAAGATGGTGGAAGAGGAAGAAGAAGAGAGGGATAGAGAAGAGATGAGGCCCTCTTCCCTCGGGCCGTACGTTATTTCCCTCAAGTTATCCATTCTTGCGCACGCTCTCGCGAATAAATACGCGTATTACTGATATATTATAATATTTATTTCCATTCTCGCTGTGAAATTATGCGCTCGTAAAGAACGGAAATACACGGGTCAGGCTGAATCGCGCGCGGCTCGGCTTTTCAATGCGAAAGAAAAAAATAACGATTAAGAAAAGGGAGAAAAACGGTTAAAAGAAATTGATTTAGAATCGTAGGTGCATAATAATTCATCAAGCGCGCGCGTGTTTAAGCCTGATCAGTTATACGACCACCTCTCTCGCTCTCTGTCTCCTCAATGCAGCAACAGCATCACACTCCCTCCTTCCTCCTTCTCTAAAGGGTTGCGGTTTACAAATTAATTCATTAGTAAATCATTTTTATTCCCGTTTCCTCGAAACGCGTTGACGGATTTATCTGTGGACGGGACCCTGTGATAATCGACTTTTGAGAAATTGTGTTCTTTCCACCTTAGTAATGGAGATGTTCCTTTTTGGCGGACGGATTGGCCCCCGTCGAGAGGGTGTCGGGATCCCCCGCGGCTCCACACCTGGCCCCCTTCGCGTATAATAACTCGAAGTGATTTATAGTTCGACCAACACTTCTTCACGACCGCAAACCAAGAGCGAGAGGGGGAGGAGATGGTGAAAAAAGAAACAAGGAGAACGCATAATAAAGATGTACAAGAAGGAAGAATAAATATTCGCTAGACGAGAGGAAGATGAAGAATCAATCAGCTCGAAACCACCCTTAGAAGAGAACATAAACAAATGCCGCCTTGCACACACACACACACACGCATACATCTATATTCACGTAAACATATATAAGCACATGCATACAAATAATATGGGTTTCTCGGGAAACGATCAAAGATTGATGCGAAAATTATGAATTACACACGTCGCCGCGCGATGATTAAGTGCATAAATGTGTTTCTCGCAAATGAAGATATTAAAAAGTGGCCGTTTTTAAGTGCTTTAGAACTGTCTTTATCCTGCCGATGAGGATGCACCTCTCGTATTCTCTCGCTCATATACATGTACATACCGTATACACACACGCACACAAACACACACAAACGCACACAAATACACATATATATAAAGGAGGAATCCACTTACAATCTGCGACTCGGCCGCTTTTTATTACCTTTTCATACCTAAATTAGCAATAATGCACGCTGCATGCGGGGCGCACAAAAGACCGCAATATTATTATATTAATGCGTCGTTTAACTACCCAAAAGTAAATTATTAAACACACAATAAAGAAAAAATGAATAACTAGAGAACGGGTATTATGTATGTACGTATATGTATGCATTCATTCGCGCAACTGCTGCTTGCATCGCAACGGTTTTAAAACTTTACAAAAAAAAAAACATCGCAATAATTATTAACCCAGCTAAAAGACATTCTAGATAAATATGATCTTGTTGATTAAATTGAACAATGGTGGTTGATGGTGATGTTGATGATGTTGATGATTCCGTTTTGGATCGCGCGCCGAAATGAAACCAAACATCCAATTAATTTGTGCCCGTTTTATCTCGGGATCTTAATAATCGAAAAGGAAACGCATTTCGGGACCGGCCCCCTTTTTTCGTTTCGTTCAGTTCTTCTCTTCGGCATCATCATCATCATCAGCATCACCATCACCATCTCGTTCTTCAACGATTCCTCCCCGGTTTGCTCCGTTTCTGAGTGGGGCAACGAGACCGTGCGGTTCTGAAACGGTGATCGCCGCGCGAGATTTAACGCGTATTAGTTTCGATGGGGCACCTCTGATAGTGTGAAGAAAAGAGCACACACATATTTATATCTACTACACATATATATAATGAAAGAGAGAGCGAGAGAGCAAGACGTGTACAAGAGTGTGTGGAGATGTATCAGATTGTAATTACATCGCGGGCTGTGGGCCCCTTCTCGCTTTGTAATTAATTGTGGCCCGGCGTTGCAGCCCACTTTTATCTCGTCTTGTTGCCGTTGTTGTTGTTGTTCCTCATCTTATTCTTCTTTTGCTCTTGTTCATTGGGTAGGTATACCTTGTGAACATGCTGCAGTATTTAAGCAGGCCGAGGCAGAGCGAAGTCGGAATGGCCCCCGTCGAGGCACGGCCAACAACATAACACAACACAACACAACAAGGTGCATCCTTCTCTAGGTGCAAATAGAGGAGCGAAACGCGCAAGGAAATTGTTGCGAACGGCAGCGAGAACAAAACAAGAGATTCTCTGTTCAGAGTGTTGATGAGCGGCTAATGGGCCGACAATTACATGCAAAACAAATCTAATGCTGTTACCACAACTAGTTTAGATCAAATTAATGATACAACGTAAAAGGAATAGAATATATGCAATATTGCAGCAAATTAAATTTCTAATATATTATAATTAACAAAAGCAAAGAATACAATTAATTAAAGAAGGAAAAAGATAATCGAAGAGTAACTTAAAATCAATCATATTATTTCTGGTCAATTTGGAAATCTATTTGAACAAGTGCTCTAATTGTACATACATTTAAAAAAGACCTTATATTCTAAAAAAGTATTACACTCATATTAGATTTTTATAAAGTATTTTTTAGAAATTATTTAACTTAATTTCATAACAATTGGAATGGGTAAAACAGATTGAAAAAGCTAAGTCGAAACTAGATTACCCAATTAACAAACTGAATTTCAAGTCATGCAGCCTGGCTACCCGTTAACAGATGCCGCCAGCAGCTTGATCACCTCTCGCCCGGCCTGCAGACACCTATAACGTAACTTAGGAATTCCACCTGTAGAGATAGGTATAATCATATTCGTTAATTACAGGTGGGGTCGTACGAGATCGCGCTTTATACCGGAATCGTCCGACGAGGAGTTTAATTGTATTTTGCCAGGTGGTCAAAAAACTCTCACCGGAGGTGCACTTTGTTTGTTATATCGTCCGTGACACCACCAGCGCACGTCTATAGCCAGCAAACCGCATCTCATACAGTGAAGGAGAGAGGAAGAAGTTCGCGATTGTAGAAGCGAAGGAATAATAAAGGGTGCGAACACATCAAATCGGTGGTGATAAATGCGAGAGTGCCTCTAAGAAGACGAGAGATTCGCGGAGATTCACCATTCTTAGATGAGCCAAGATGACCACCAATAGGTTTCACAAGTGAGTGTACCTTTTGTTTTTGTTTACATCGCTCTTGCGCAAATTAATAAATTGCGAAACTTTTCGTCAATTAGACCATAATTAATACTAAACATTATTTGCAATTTTAATTGGTACACTTTTTCGTTTCTTTTATTGTTATTAATTGCTTAACCCAAATGCTCTAAATAGATGCGAATTGGATTCGAGCGAAAGGAAATCTTCCTGTACGATAAATCCGCTCCAATTATTTGCAAACTTCTTGTACCGGAATACTACACTACATCACTATTGCAACCTCTTTTTTTTTTTTCATTTATTCTTATTTTGAACAATTTCCCCTGTGACACATGTTCATCATGCGTGAAAGCGCTAAGCTCGTCCAATTATGATCCAAATCCAACAATCCCAAAAATAACTTTATATCTCAACTTTGTCATACTATTAATGAAAAGATTAAATTCTGACGTATTCATTAATTATAGCTTGACGAGGCTTGTAAGAAAATTATATTAAATCGTATCAAAACGAACTATAATAATTTTTTGTTTCTTTTACTATTGAAAATCAAGAATGGTTGAAAATGCACTACTTTCTTAGTTATTATTTGTTTATTGCAGCAAAATAATTAATTAATTTGCAATAAACTCAGGACACTGATGAATATTGAACAACGAATATTTTTCGCTATAGTCATATGTGTCTTATCAAGTAGCGATAAAGTACGTTTTCAGCGATCGATCGATACATGATTAAATGTTATCACGCTTACAATCAAGGACTTGTATAAAAAAAAAGGTCGAAGTAACCACCAATTGAGGATTTGCGAGGAAACTATTTCAAAATGCCTTTTATCTTGCGCTCAAAAATAACGACGTATAGATCATATCACTTACATAACAATTACTATCGAAAATTTCATCATAATATACTACTTAATAATATATAGTAATAAAATATAAACTTGCATATTTAGTTCAGCCAAGTCCAAGAATGGATTAAATCTTGTTTTTCGAAAACTGGCAGAGAAGATGTTGCATTTCCTAAAAAAGAAGTCAGTTATTAATGTTATGTTATTTTATATTAAATTTATAGGGCCGCGAAGGACGGCTTAATTGACGTGCTGAAAGAGGCTACGAAGAGAGAATGCAACGCAAAAGATGAGCAAGGCATGACCCCAACACTTTACGCCGCTTTCCATGGTCATTTGGAGGCTTTGCGTGTGCTATGCGGGCGAGGGTAAGAAAATTTCAGTTACAATCAGCTCGAAATCTATTATTGTTTAATTAGTCCTGTAAATATATCTAATCAGTCTAGTAAGTTAACAAAGAGATAATAATTTAAAGGACATTTTTTTTATATATAGAAAACGATAAACAAATTTACTAATAGATAGACTATTTTTAATTAATATTTTGTAATTCTGATCTCTTTGCTAGTGGTGATCCAGATAAGTCTGACCATTTTGGAAATACCGCCCTGCATTTGGCAGCGGCACAGGGACATAAAGTGGTTGTCACGTTCCTGTGCAACTTTGGGGCAAACATTTACGCAATGGACATTGACCAGAGGACGGCGCAAGATCTAGCGGGTATGAACAACCGCGAGGAGATTTTGCGGTACATGGACGCGTTCACAGGAAAGCTGGAGGCGAGCGACAAGAAGAAGGCGAAAAGCATGAAGGAGAAGGCCAAGAAGGATGCGGAGAAGCGCATCAAGGAGTTCAGCAAGAGACAGGCGAAGGCGAATCACAACGAGAGACTTATCAAGAAGCAGAACAGCAAAGAGTACAAACCTTCTCTGGTGAGCACGCTGAGGATGAAGATGAAGAGCGGATCCATGTCGAATTTGAGTAACGGTGGTCAGACGATGCCCAGAAACAGCTTCAGCGCCATCGTCTCTGGAGGAACTGTATCCAGGAACGTCAACAGCACGGTGCAGAGGAAAGTTCTGGCCAACAAGTTAAGGAACAACAACGATGACGACGACTTCAAGGTGACTTATCCATCTATCAATCTGTAAAAATACAAAAAAATTAAATTAACTGAATTCACAGATTAGCGAAATCGAAGATGGAAAACGCTCGGTGAGGCACATACAAGGTTTGAGAAGGGATTCCGAGGTGTTATATGGTGGCGTACTGGAAGACACGAGACGCGGGCGTTTGGACGGCGTCTTCAACGAGGCCGAGAGCGTGCTATCACCCAATCAAAGCAACGGAGGAAGCGGAACGTTGACCCGTTCAATCTCCCAGCCGGATTTCATGCACGAGCTGGAGCAGAACGAACCCTTGCACCATCAACCGGTGGAGCCCGGCAGCATTTTCGTGAGGCCCGGAATCGGAAGCTTGGCTTTCAGGTAAAAACCTCTGAAACAAAGCAAAAATATAATAAATGAAATGTATTTTACAGAAAAAGCATCACAAATACATTACAAGCCATGTCCTTCGCCGAAGCAGCAGTCGAGGAGAGCTCAATAGGTTCAGCGAGATTCGATGATGATATTTCAGGTACGCCGCCTTTAGTTCGCAATTAGCAAAAACTAATTTACAATTTTCAGAGTCCGAACCCGAGGAGGAGGAGGAGGAGAACAGCGCCATCGAAAGATTCCTGACTGCGTGGGGTTTGAGCGAATACTTGCTCAGGTTCGACGAACAGAAGATCGATCTGGACACGCTGCTGATGCTCACCGAGTCCGATCTGAAGACCCTCAACTTGCCACTGGGACCGCACAGGAAGCTGGTGAACGCCATAGCCGAGAGGAAGGCAGCATTGGAGAACCCCAGAGAGGTGACCGACGGCAAACTGTAAATGGTGGAAGAACTTGAGATGCAACACAAGTTTGGCGCAAAGAAATAGTCATTTTTAATGTATTCGATGAGATGAATCAAATATTATCAAAGAAGCTACTAACTATACTATAATATAATTTATGTACATTATTTTAAAGCGAATGAGATTAAATTATCAAAACACACATTGCAGCTTTAATAATCAAGAGACATGGATAGCAAAACAAAAACTATTTTGTTGATTGATTGAAAATGAGAATCGCATCCATGTCCCAAATCGCGTCACATCTTAAGATAAACCCAAAGGCAAAACTTACGTTTAGACTTCTTTAAAATTGAACGATGAAAACTTTTCAGATGATGGAAAGACGCTAATGGCGCTAGTACCAATTTAACAACAATTTATTTGAAAGTATCTTAAACATTTTAAAAAATGCAACACTGCTAAATTAGGTTTGCTTATAAAATGCATTTTGCAAATTGAGAAAAACGAATGAAACGGCAACAGCGCAATTGATTAGTTTTTTTTTGGGGGATCATTTTATAAAAATCGAAATAATGCTTCTAATTATCTACGTCTATCCAAATATATGCGTTTAATATAAATAAAAAAATTAAGTAACTTACGTTTTACGTTACTCTTCAATTTGAATGAAGACTATGTTGCGCGAGACGCTCAGCAAGTACAAAAGAACGTGTTTATTTATTCGTTGCCATGTTAACAATAATTTGTTTTAATAATAACCAACTTTAGAAAAATATAAAAATTGGGGAAGAAAATAAAATGTGTTGTTTTCAATTAATTTATTGAAAAATTAATAAACTACAGTTAAAATATAATGAAAAATAAAAAGAAAGTTAATTGCATTCCTTACAATAAGTTCTTTATTGTTATTGTTGTTGTTGACAGAAAGAAACAATACAAGATTATGTATTTAGTGTTTGCCTCCGGCGTATGGAGGGTAGAGGGTCTGGAATGCGTTCGAGTCCCCGACGACGTCGTCCTCGGACTCTGAATCCCCGTCAGATTCGAAGGTGTTGTCGGGGATGTCGTACAGACGGATCATCGGCTTGTTGGGATCCTTCATGATCAGATATTTGCCGTCCTTCTCCTTCATGACGATGTCAACGATGCACCTGAGGATGCCCCAGGCGTTGTCCATGTTCAGGTTGATCTGGGTGGCGAACTCGTGCGGCTTGTACTGCTGAGTGCCGAGGATGACGTGCTTGCTGTTGTCCCTCACGTGCGACCTGGACACGTAACCGAATTTGATCTGATTGGATCCGGCGAGGAGGGCCTGGATCGTCCACTTGGCAAGCTTGCAGGCGTTGTTGCGCAGCTCGTTGGCGAGGACGGCACCGCGTTGGGTGTCCAATTTCTGTCTCCATTCGACGCCGTTCGCGAGCTTCGAATCCCACTCGTTCAGTGCCTTGATGGAGAGGTACTGCAGCTCACCGTTCGGCGTCTGCACGACGGCGTCGTGCTCGCAACGCGCCACCAGGACGACTCCGTTGCCCAGATCCCACTTTCTGTATCTGTAGGCGACGCTGGCCACCTCACCTTCCTCCTCTTCGGAGATGAACGGATTCGGGTTGTCGAACTTGTACCTGGGCTCGGCCGTTCCGTTGCGGAGCACCTGCTGCGAGAAGTTGTGGTTGATGAAGGTCGCCTCAAGCGCCAGATTCCTCGGCGAGTTCAGCGAGTTTCCATCGTCCTGCGGCGGTTCCACGGACGTCTCGTTGACGGTCAGCAGATCGAACTCGGTGTTATCCCTCTTGTCCAAGAACAGCTTATCGCCGATCTTCTCGATCACGATGTCCCAGGAGTAGTTGGACCTGGTGCAGCACATGATCGTTGCCAGGATAGCATCAGTCGCGTACACGTTGCCCTCGGTCTTGGACAGTTTACGAATGATGGGATCGTCAGTTGTGGTTACCTGAAAGAAAAATACAATTAGCAAAACCGCACTACAACATTATCGAAAAGATAACTCACAGTATGGAAAATACGGTTAACGCTCTGCAGAGGCTTCTCGTTCTTCACGTTGACGCGATCGTAGACCTTGTCGTAATACTCCAATTCACCACAGCACATAACATCTTCGCCTGCAATTCAAAAAAACACATATAATTAATAAAAGTCAATCTAGATCTACTCCGAAAGTTTACCTTCTTTGATGTTGGGCAAGGAAAGCTTGCCGAGACGAGGGAAGTCCATCTCCTCGATAGTGACCCAATCGGGTTTCACGGTGACGGAGGCATCGCGGATCTTGATCTGCGGTCTGCCCTGACCCCACTTCTTGTTGAATCCCTTGCGATCCCTGTCGCGGTTCTTCAGACCCTTTCCAAGGGCCTGCATTCCTCCGGAGTGGTTTCCTCTGCCACCGCGGCCTCTCATATTCCTCTGGTTCGCACGGAAACGACCCCTCTGGTATGGAGGCTTCTGCACCCTCGTGGTGTCCACCAGGTGGAAGGTGCTCTCATCCTCATCGTGGTAATAAGCGTATTGGCTTCCAGCACCAAACTGAGAAGTGTACTTATCTAAAAAAAGAATACAAAAAAAAAAGGTTAAATTTGAATAGTTTATTTTATGCACATTACTGTGCAAAGCATATTTAAATTAAGCAAATAGTAGAAAGTTAAGATAATACAAATATTAAAAGAAAAGTAATAATGAATTACTAGTCAAATCCGATTAAAAGTGAAAGTGCAATATTGTAATAACACATTCAATTGTTATTAATGTAAGTTAAGGATGTTTCATCGAGATTGTTAATCGAGAATGCTATGACAATATGTTACTACAGTAAACATTTCATTTGTTATTCTCTTCGATGAGTCTAAATTGAGGTTAAGCAGTCTACCATCATCCGTACAGTGACATATCACCATAACCAATGGTTGAAAAGACCATTTGGTCGATGATTGTTATAGTGATGGTATTGTTTGTGGTACTTACTGGCATATTTCTTGTCCTGGAAGGCTGCACCGGTCCAGTCGCTGATCTTGCCCAGACGATCGCCCTTGCTGAACGGCTGATACGGCATATCGCGAAACTGGTCGGGCATCTCGCAGGGCCCCCATCCTGTGTGATTGTCCTGGATCACCGGGGCCACGAAACTCGTGCTCGGCCCGCTCTGGGCACCATCGGTCAACGTCATTTCTTCCGAAGAATAATACCAAAGATCACTGGTTTTGACACACGCTCACTGGATGAAGCCAAAACGGAAATGGACGATCGTCGATTGTCGTAGTTATTATGGCGTCCACGCGGACGCCACCATCTTGCGCCAGAACTATGGCAACCCACGTAGGCAACCCAACAAGCAACAATTCAAACGACGCAATTACTCAACAATTGACAGATGCATAAAGATTTCGACGGATCTCTTCATCTCCGTGAATCAATCGTAGCACTCGAGTCTTTCTTCAAGAATGGTAAATTATTGCATTACTTCATTATCACACTTGCAACATACACAACAACAACAACAACAAAAACGCAAACAAATACATCAATACTTCAATTTCCATCTTTAGTTTAAACTTCAATTTTGACTCAAAAACAATCGATACCAATGAAAATGATTGACAGCAGCTCACTGCAATCTCTGCAGTTTCATTTTTAAGCGTTAATTTTTCAACGCTTTCAAGACTTAAAAAACTAAAGATGGAAAGTTTCATTTAATTAATTTATTGTTTGCCAAGAATTACATAAATTTTACATCGATAAACTATATATATATATTATTTGTTTCTCATTAATAAATTTTAATTTATACAATTTCAATATATTACTTTCATTTGTTTGTTGTCGTGTTGTCATAGTTACATGATAATCATAGTTGTCCATAATAGATATATATGTAGTGTCGCTTATCGTCATTTGTCGTAAAGTATAAAATACAAGGAAGGAGACGGGGAAGGTGGAAAAACTATGGACCGAAACGCTTTCCTAAAACGGTGCACCAAAAACACATCTTCCTTTTTTCTACGCAGCACTTGCATTCCCAAAAAGTATACAACATAAAAGCAATTTATTTTCTTTTGGTTAATGCTATAAATAACAGAAGCACATGTTTAACAATTAACGGATTTAGACTTTTTCATCAGGTGATATGATATTTTTCCCTTAGGTGTGATTTAAGTTTCAATGCAAAGTCAATTGATTGAGAATCAAAAAATACTTTGTACAAGTAGTTCGGCAAGTAACGCCGATCAAAGTAGTTGTCTTTCGTTTTGTTTTTAAACGTCAGTGGAAACGCGTGTGTGTGTGAATTGATAATTTAACAGTCCTAAGGTAAATCAATTAGCTACGGTTACTGATCACTTTTGCTGCAGGAATCGAATACTTTTCGAGCACAGCCAAAAACTTAACAGAAGTAATTTGCTTCAATATGTACATTACCTAAGGTTATCAACAAAAACAATCAAGGAGGTTCAGAAAAAAAAAACAAACGATTGATATAATGCCGCCGCCGCCGTAATGAGATCAAAGACGTAGTTTATAAGTTTGTGTTACCTAGGCTACGCTCATCGTTCGCCCGTCGCTTAAGGTTTGATTAATAGTTGAATATTTGATATTGCATATTGTTATAATATTAACTTTGGTTTTTGAAAGGAATTAGACTTAATCTTTGATTTCGTTTTTCGTTTCGCAGGTCGACTGCGATTATTATTATTGGACTATCGTGTTCGGGCAGTAGCCGTGTTCGTGTCCGGAGCAGTAGATCCTCGGACTGTGAGAGCTGTCCCAGATGCCCGGACCGCATCGCATGCAGAGCCCCGATAGGGTGCACGGAATCTCCCTGAGCTGTCGGAACTGGTGGAGAAGACCGCGGGCTTTCCTCGCGATCACCTGTCCATCCATGTACATCGCTGCAAAAGAAAAAAAAAGTATAATTGTTGCAGTTAAATTGGTACTGATTTTAAGTACCCAGTGAGCTGAAGTGGAGGAGCATCTCGTCGGCTCTCAGATCTTGAGCGATGACGTCGTCGGCGTACACGCAGATGATGGCCAAGCATAGGAAGAGGTGGAAATAGTCGGTGAGGTAGTTGGCCCAGCAGGCCTCCCACATCCTCAGAGCCACCGCCTCCGTGAACTCCCGTTTGAAGCATCTGCAGAGGATGATCACGATGATAAGTTGTTCGGATTGGATTCGGAGGGATTTAATACTCACAACAAGATCCAGCGGTGACAGAAGAGCAGCTCGTTCGCGTCCTTGTGCTTCTGCAGGTGGTCGTGGAACTTGGGAACGATGATTCTCACCAATTCGCGCAGATATTTCAACGATCTGTCCATGTCTCGATCCGTTGGCGTTGCGACGAAGACGGCCCTCTGCATGAGTCCGACGAAGCACCAGAATGCGGCCACCTCGTCTCGCAGCTCGAAGAGGACGGGCGCCAACAGATCGCTCATCCCCTGAGTGTATCCGAGACCCGGATTGTAGACGGCGTAATTGAGCAGCACGTTCTTCATCACCTCCAGGTTGGGGTTATCCTCGCCTGCGAAGAACGGGTTCGCACGATCGGTACGCACGACGTCCTTTTCAACGACACTCTGCACTTTTCTTCTGAACTGCCCCAGCTGTCCACCCGTCAACTCGAGTCGCCTCCTGGTGACCTCCTCGTACTCCTGCCTTCGAATCTCCGCGATCTGCGCCCTCTCCTCGAACGTGCTTTGGTAAGGGTAACAGTGAAGCAGAAAAGGCCAAACTTCTTTCCTTAAATTACGTTCCATTCCAGCGAAGAACACCGTCTTCCTGAGCATAAGATCATCCTCAAGCTGACCGCTCTCGTTGAACAGACCTCTGAACATCTCCTCCGTCAGCTTATTGACCTGCCCTTCTTCGGGATGCAGCTCTAAATCGCTCACTTCCGCGCGACACACCATGAAATGTCTGTACGGTAGATTCTCCTCGCATCCTGCAAACATCCACTACATGCAGCAAATTCTACTTGGCAAGTATCGTAATTGAAACGTGATAGATATTGAGATTCAATTAGAAATTAATGTTTTAGATTACCTTTGGCGTATTTGATGCTGTGCAGAAGGGAATGCCACTGGTGGAGGACCTGCGCGAGATGGTCGAGTCCGCCGTGATGGAAATGCAGAATCTTGTACTGACTCTCCCTGGACGCGACGACCAGTTGGCCGCACGTGCAGTTGGTGTCGTTGAAGAACAATCTGAGCGATCGCATCTGGCTGAGATCGACGCTGAATCTTCGACACTTGTGGTGCAGTTTGGTGGGTAAGATCGGGGAGCAGGTGGCGCTGTCGGGGAAGGCGAGGTTGTGTTTCTGCGCCAAGAACTCGGGCGTGCTCAACCAATTGTACTGGCTATCGGTGGACGTCATCGACTCGGACCTCGTGAACTCGAACTTCTCCTCGTCCTCCTTGACGCTGTCCGGCGTCGAGATGATCTCGATATCCGGATTACTGATCTCCACGTTGATGTTGATCATATCCGGCTTATCGCCTCTGCCTCTGCCTCCCTCAACAACAACACCGCCGCCGCCGCTTCCGCTGCTCTCGTCCGAGCTGATCGACTCGTTGCACTCCTTATCCTCGTAATTGAGAAACGGATTCGTACTCTTCAGCTCAAAACTCGCCGGTCTATCGTCGCACGAGTCCAGCGAGGTGAGGCTCTCCACGCTCGTCTGCTTCGAGTAGCTGTTGTAGCCGTTCCTCTTCGCCGGTGAATTCTGCAGCGTGTGCGGACACTTCTTCAGCGTGCTGTTCGGAATCCAGGTGAGCATGAGCGTCGGTCTCTTCGCGTCGTTGTACTGATCCACGAACGTCTTCGTGGTGATAGCCAAGTACCCAGGATGGTGCAGAATATCCGTGTCCTGCCGCATGATGGCAGGCGGATGCACGCACACGTTATTCTTGCAGAAGAGCACCTCGTTATCCTCATACTGCAGAAGCCTCTCGTTGTCTAGTTCAGAACCCAGGATGTACGTAGATGCCCGTCGAAAAACATCTGCCAGAGGCATTCTGAAACAATCGCAATCTTCATAACTTACTTCATAACATAAGACGCAATTCAAAATTCATTAATAATCATTAAATAATTCATTAAGCAAACTCGATTCACAATCAATAACAGACGCGTGTTATCGAAGGCTTAATAATACCTATTGATTTTTTTCCCTTATCAACTCTCTGTGAACTGGGGACCGACCGAATTGAATGCATTCATTCGTCGCGATACGACTTACCTGTTTTAAATAATAACAAACAGTTAGATTAGATAGCGATTCAATAATAGGAGAACACGAACGATCGCAGTAACGAAACGAACAAATAAAAAAAAACACAAGTGAAACCGCAAATTATCTTAATTGGAGATTTGCGGCGACTCAACAGTTGGCTAAAAATAGTTCAATTGTTTCCCCATATAACCACTTGATTTTCTCTCTTCCTATCATTACAATCAACGATATGCATAATGACGCACTTAAATTTAAGATTTTCAATCATTAACTTCAAATTTGTTATTGTTCAACATTTTTTTACTTGACAATTATCATCATGTTAGCTCCATTTACTCAAATCTAATCATATTATTCCTAATAAGTTTCAATTAGTTTTCTAGCTATTAACTTAAAAGTGACTTTTATCAATCAATTTTTAATATTTCTATAAATCATTTGTTTGTGATCAATTGTTGCTATTGATAATCAATTGTTTTCGAAAATTGTTCTGATATTTTAAGATTCAAAAACAATTGCGAATACAATGTTTGTTGCTTGCTTCGATCAATTATTTTTTTGTGACGCAAATTATGAAATACAACACTTACTTGGATCTGTTTCTCAGCCCTTCGCACTTCACGCGTTCGCCGGTTCTGGTGACGTTTAACTGCTCTTCGTTCTTCGGTTTCGAGCGATTATTTAATTTTCACTCGCTCACAGTGTACATTGACCCATTTTGCCCATTAAGCGAAACGCTGATTAAATACGAAAAAAAAAAGAGAAATGACAACAAAACACGTACACACACATACAACGGAGACCGAGAAAATTGCGGAAAAACCGGTTTTCCCCTCAAGACGCTTTTCCGAATCCGCCGGAGAAAACGGTAATGTCTTATGTTGGAACAGATGGTGCGATTCTGCTCCCTTTTTTTTTTGTTCAACTTCTATTGGACACTGCAGTACACTTCCAACGCGACCATTCCCGATTTAGTCTTAGCTTGCATTTCGCGCTTTTCTCTACCTCTTTAATCAAATTTTGTTTCGCAAATTTTCCTTTTTTGTCTTTTCCCTGTTTCGCTGTCACGGAGGGCTTCGATCCGTCCGGTCGGATGTCAGCGACTGAACGTCGCGACGCCCACGCGCTCTCCCTTATCAATTTATTGATTCGCTTCAAGCGACGCCATCTCTCGACCGCATTCCTTCCCTCAAATTCCGCACGCTCGCATCAGAAGAAATTGCATTCCAGCACGATCCCATTCATCCCTTCAATCATCGCCGCCCACACACACTAATATCCCCGGATTAAGTCCTAATTGGATTTCCGTACGCGAAATATTTCATCTTAATCTGTCTGTAACGCTGCCAGAGTTATTAAATCCATGCATCTCCATAGCAACCGACAAGTTACGTCATAAAGTCAAGTAACAGTTGTAGAAAAAAAAATGAATTAACAAACACAAAATGAGATTCTTTATTTTCTTCATAAATCATGTGTGCTTTTGTTTTGCGAACGAAACAAAGAAATATTTATATATTAAACTGAGTTAACAAATCATAAATATAAATACGTAGTAAACATATACAAAAATAGATTGTTAATTATTAACATTTGATTATATAATGATAAACCTTCCTAATTCCTATAGTAATAAATTATATGACACATAAGTTTTAAATTACTCGCGCATCCAGAGCCATCTAACCGAGAGCGTGATTAGCACTTAGTGTTTTTGTTTTTTTTTTTGCGTGTTACGTAAGCTGCACCACCTACTAAGACTCGAAGACGACACGTGCGTTCATCGAACAGCCTCCCGCTATTTGCATGAATCGCATAATAAACGTTTCCGTGGTTACGAATCGCAAATTAATGCACCTTTTGTTTGCGCTTCTGTTTGTTCTCCTGACAAATATTTGCTCTAGATAATTAATTATAAATATATATATATATAAATAAGAAACAGGTTTTTGAACCAAATTAATCAAAAACGAACAATGCAAGCGATCGATTAATATTGCCTCCTGAACGGCGCCCTCTCGTAAGCCGCCCTTCTGTCGTACTCTTCCTTGACGATCTGGAAGAAGCTGTACGTCACCATCCACATGTAAATGTATTTCACTGAAACCAATCGAACGATTAGAGTTAACGATGATAATGATTATGTGTTGTTGGGGTTGCCTACCGATCGATAAGAGACCCAAGACTAGCATCAAGGTGCCCGCGAGACTTTCGCCTTCTATGTAGAAGTTGACTGAGGTGTAGATGACGGAAACGAGAAGGCCGATTGCCAGCATTATTCCCAGTATGACCCACGGCATCATCAAATAAACATTCCTCTGGAAACAAAAAAAAAAACAAACAGACATTATTATTATTTTTATTTTTTCTTTTGTTTTTGTTTTGCTATACGCGCACCTTGATGATGCCGATGAGGAGCAACATCGATATGAGGATGGTCATCGCGAAGTTGATCACGATGATTATGTTGACGATCCATTTCGGGAGCCAATCGATCACGATCGTCTTGAAATCAATGTTGGCCGTGAATACGAGCACTATACCAAGTATTCCCAAGATCTAGCACAAAATTATTATATTTAATTTAAACAGAACTTATTATAGAAAACGCAATTATATATGTACAATGAAATAGTTACTGTATTTCGCAGTAGCAAAGTGTTGAAATCATGATGTCATAGGCGACTTAGTTTAAGTAAATTGAAAACAAAAAACTTACGATTCCAAGGATGGCTGCATTTATGCTTCCCGTTCGCAGAGAGAAACAACAGTAATAGGTTTTCAGCAGCGTCATGATTGATTATCTGTAAAATAATTTAAAAAAAACAAAACAAAACATATAATAACAGTTGACAGTTTAAATCAATTGTTTTCAATCTTCTAATTGAATTTCATTAGTTGGAAAAGTTTAAACATTTGAATATTTTCACTCAACAATTCATCTAGTTACCTCTGATTCAATTGTTTTCAAGAAAATTGAATGCGTAATCAGAATGTTACATACAGATTAATCTGTTTTTTTTTTTAAATTACTTTTATAGATGTTTACTTGAGGTTAAAGGTTATTGCGATAATTGCGAATGATGCTTCGAAAAATGGAAAATCGTCGCCTTTCGAAATCGTCCGTTCCGGCTTTCTCGCGGTTTAGAATCACCCTGTACATGCATGCATGCATGCGACATTTGAGAGGCATTAGCATACGCGCGCTTCACTTGTTTTATTTGCATCGTGCGGTATAGTAGTAACAGTCGTCTCTCTCTCTCTTTAGATTCGCGAAAAGTAGTTCAAATGCCAACGGGACGGAAGACGGTGGAGAGGGGAATAGGCGGTTTAGGCTCAGAATTGGATTCTAATTAAAACCGGCCGCAATCGATCGTCGCGAAATCGTCGTTCCCGTTAATTGATCCGATCTAATTATTAACTCATCGGCATCATTAACATTATCATCATGGCGTTGGATGGTATCTAAGCTACGAACAATAATAATAACAACAACATTCGGCTCGGTGAATAACAACGAAACGCGCGAGTAAACAAATTAATAAAACCATGGAAACGAATCCGTTTAATTTTAAAATAAATAATTGCGAAGCCGTTGGAAAAATTTGAACGACGAGTATTTCAATTGGCGAACGCTATTGGATAAACGTTCTTGTTTATTTTCATTAATTTTAGACTAACGTCTCGAATTAGGCAAACTTCGCATCGGTTTCACTCGATAATATCTCGCCGAAATCGTAGCTGCAAATTGAGCAACATCCGTTTAAACAAAACAAAATAAATTGTTCAATTATGCAACTTCTCTATTTCCGTTTCTGTTCAACGCACGCGAATACGCGTCAAGTTTGCGAGAACGCTAGTTGCGAAATCGTCGACTATTTTTAGTTGGAAGATAATTAGGAAGTGCGGTCGTGGAGGCGAGCCGAGCCCTGCTCTTCCACCAATTCATGTGACGTGCGAAGGCGATTTGATTTTTGTCGGGCCGAGCCCAAAACTCTGTTCCATCCTCTTCCATTACGTTAATGCAATTTCGCGATCAAATCCAATTTGGATCTCGTAAGCGCAATGCGAACGTCAAATTAAATCTCAATTTGACGTTTCCCAATTCCATTACAGGTTACGAAATTGTGATTGTCAAATTAGCGTTTGTCGCATTTAGTTAAAACAAAGAGTAATTCCCAGTTTGGGAAACACTGATTGGGTTTAATGCAACTGAGATTGTCTATAATTTTGCAACGCAATTGACATTGACAGTTATGTAAACTGAAACGTCAAATTAATTTGACGTTTGAATTGGATAAGTTATTTCGAAAATGTTCGATTTTAAGCTTCGAATTCCAAGAGCACTTGATCGAAGGCAGAGAAATGTGGGAATTTATTTAGTTTTGTTTGTTTTTTTTTTCGTTATTGGGAGCAAACACATTTTGTGGTTCGCATCATCGCTAAAAATAATACCGTGCGCTGCCGGAGCAGTTGCTATTGCGCGCCTCCTTTGTTTTTCAGCAAATTAGCAATCTTAGCACGCGCGATTAATTTGATCGCGGCAAGCGAAACGACTGATTAGTCGTAAAGAGGTTCTAACCCAAATCCGTGGGAAGTCATGGCGATTTTCGTCATGCAGAGAAAGAGGTAGAAGAGGTTCATTGATCCGTTAGCGATTTCAAATTCGGCGCGCGTTTTTTTCCTTTCCAATATTTCGTTTAATTCAATTCGAGCAATTAATTTTTGTTTTGTTTAATGATCGTGGGTGCTTTGGAAGCGCAGAGGAAGCATCGATCTTGAAGATCGGTGTGTGCGTCTCGTAGTTTTCGGTGTTAAACGTGTCAATGTCGACGCGAACTTGACCCAAATTGATGAATGCAAACGATGACTAAGATCGACCCCGATATCCGCTCTATATATATATACACACATTTAAAAAGAGACATATATATATATACGTTAAGGTCACATTTGCGTTTTGACATTTGCCAGACGCGAATAAAGTTGGATGAAAAACAGAAGCGCTCTTCGATTATTATTATTTACGTTGCGAAACTGAAATACGCGAAAAAGACGATCGAATTCCCTTTGCTTCTTTTGTTGTTTTATTCATTTCTTTTCTTTTTCCAGGTCAAGTTCGAGCGATAAATCGTAATCGAAATATTCGCAATCATATTAATTCGCTTTTCGAAATAAAACATTAAATTTGTCATTGATTTTAATTCAAGTACGAGCGACGTATTTACATCTTCACCAATTAGTACGATTTCAAACAAACGTCAAATTTGACGTTGACAGTAACCCGAAATGAAACGTCATATTTTTTGTTGTTGTTGATGAATGAAACATTTGACATCGTTCGCTAAACAAAAATGTGGGAAGAGTTCACAGGTCACGTGTTTCTTTTTATTGTTAACCTTGTCGCTGTCATAAAAAGAAACCCACCTGTATAATAATAGTAATGAAAATAAGCGACAACTCTGTCGTTTTCCATGGAATGTCTGATTCATCGGTTCCTATTCAACTGTTCAATCACATTTTATCCTCGCCTCGTTTGTTTTTCTCTTCTCTATTTTTGCGCCATTTGCGACCTACTACCTACCACATCTCCCGCTGACACCGACTGTAGCGACCTTCGCGCGCGAAAGGTCGCCACCTTGCTTCCTTTCCCATTTATATCTTCATCCAGCATGCGACTTCCTGTTCCATTTGCAATTCCTATCGCAGATTGCGTCTCCAATCAAAACACATTAACGCAACCGCAAATTAAAAAAAAAAACTTTTCACGTTACGTCAATGCATAGTAGCAGATTTTCATTGAAAAAAGTAAATCTTCAACTTTAAATTTTCAATTTAAAACGCCAACGGAAACCTGTTTTTTTTTTTAGAATAAATATATTTGCTTATATAATTTATTCATTTACACTTTGAATGCTTATGTAATATGTTTTTAAAAACTCAATTTTTGAGAATTTTTCTGTAAATTCAATTCGAATGGTTTCGTTAATTCGTATTTTGCGACTCGTTTGTTTCGAGCATCACGTTTAAAAATATCGATGGTCAAGTTTTTTTACCAAAAAAAATAAATAAATTTATTAATAGATTCGCGCAGTTACGTTTTTGTTTGCGATGGATGCGTAACTAACGTCCGAATAACATTTGTTTTAGAACAGTTGAATGATTGGTCCAATTAATATTTGGTCGCTATGCGTAACTATGGAAAAAGTATGAGTAACATTTGTAGAACAATTGAAAAAAGGAGAAGTTTGCAGTTGTTCTAACTGACGTAAGCTTCTTTCTTGATCTTTGCCATTTTTGGAATCGCCGAGCGAAAAGTGACTAAGAGATGTGCTGTTAGTAAAAAAAATAATGAAACAACCGTTTGGCTGGATGCAATCGATTCGCAATTAATTTTTCTTTTTTTGTTTCAGTGCAAATTGTTTATGGTGTTTGTCAATTCTGTTGCAAAAGCACTTACCTTGCGGAATCGAGAAACTGCAGACTGCAAACTGAAAACAATTGAAACACACACGCACACCCACGCACTCCGGATTGACCAACGACGGTAAGCACTTTTGCGATTATTTTCTTTTCGCTCTTTCTCTTTTTTCTTCTTCAGATTCGAGCGTCTTCAGGGATGATGGGTCTTTCGATCTCAAGATGTGCACTTTTTTCTTCTTCTATTTTGTAGTATTTAGTTTTCTTTTGGATAATATTAGTTTGATACGTTATAATAATAATAATAATCTCTCACCTCACCGCCGTTGTCGATCGGCGAATGTTCAAAGTGCGAAAAAGCAACGCGCGCGCGGATCTCTCTGATCGCGGACGCAAGGCAAGGTCCCTTCCTTCTCGCAAACTCCTTGGCTACTCTAACACACACACATATTATACGTACATAAACTTATACACTTGCACATGTTACGCGAAGTGACGTATTTGGGACGAGAGCGGGAGCCGCGTACACACACACTCAAACACACGCCAATTCTCGACCTCGATTCACATTAATTTAACAAATCTCTCATCCTACCATAAGTCAAGAGACTCTCGACGTCTGCATGGGAGACGAGACGAGAGGAGACCCATTTCGGACGAGGCGCAACGGCGTTTTTTTCCGCTCGTTTTCCAGTTTTCCGCGAATGGAAAAAACTTCTTTTCAACCGGACAGAAGATATTCCTATTCGAATCCAGTGCACTTACCGGATCCATAACAACGTCGTCACTAACAACTATTGTTGGTTGTCATTGGAAACATTCTTTCCCCCCCTTAGTGATTTCAAAAATTTCACATAAAATAGAAAATTTCACAAGCAATCACTGATTGTCATGGAGACTACAATCAACAACAAATGAAACAGGCGACTAGATGATACAGACAATTTAATTTCAAATGGACACTACGCACGGGATGCATCAAACCTCATTCTTCCTCCTTTTCGTTGCTGTTGGTCACGTACATCTCATCGAAATAGGCGGTCGTGTATCCGTCATCTTTGTAGCTCTTCGCGAAGCTCAACTTGTTCTTGTAGAACTCCTCGACGCCGCTTCCCTCCATCTGCGACGTCGTCGTCTTCGAAAGAGGTTCCTTGATCGCAGCCGGCTTCGTCAGCGTCGTTCTCGGCGTTGCTTTTTTAGAAACTAAATACAATCGACAGTATATACTTGACGAATCACTTGACTCGACTTGCACTCGGTAAATCACTTGCCACAAGTATACTAATTCCAATATTTCTTTTTTGTTTAGGGAGCAAGAAACAAAACACTTACCATCCGCGTATCTCGTGAGCGAATTGATGGGAGCCAGCTGCGATTCGTTGTCCACTTTGTGTCTTCGATGAGCGGAGGACGGTATCAGAGGTTTGCTCTGCTCGTCCGGCTGCACCAGGCGCATCTCCCTCTCGGAATCGCTGAACTCCAGATCCGTTTTCCTTCTGGTTGCAACCGCTCCGAAGCTCTTCGTCACCAGAGGCGATTTATCGTTGTTGACGGTTGCGCCGAGCTCCTTGTAGTTGCTCTCGTTGAGGATCTCGTCGCGCGCCTGGTCCTTCTGCATCTGCGCCAGAAGCGTGTCCAGGGAGCGCGACGTGAACTTGGTCGGCGACAGATGGCTCACCATGTTCTCGATGGTGGAGGCGCTCATCAGATCGCGATTCTCCTCGAAGTGCTCGAAATTCGCTATGCGACTCTTCCTGTTCCCTGCGAACGTGGCCGCTATGTAATGACGTACCTGGAGCTCACTCTTCACGTCTCGATAATAGCTGCAACGTAAGCAAATTTACACCACTTTTCAAGTGAAACGAAACAATTCAAAGCACCTAAGCACTAAGAAGAACATGTAGACGGAGGGAGAATGATCGAGGACTTGGGTCAGCAGGAATTCCCAGCACGCGTACTTCATGAATCTGTATACGATGCAGACGTACAATCCACCGAGCAGCGAGAAGATGTTCATCAGCAGCGATTTCACCGCGCTTATTACGAGCCACGGCAGCAGCAACGCAGGTCTATCTACCTGCAGACACGATTACCAAGACGATATCATCTTCATCGTTAATGGACTTACGAAGATCACCGGGTACAGCAGGATCACGTAACAGCCCAAGTAGAGGTGGATGGTGAAGGTGCGCACCAGGACGATGGTGCTCATGAAGTACTTGAAGTAGACCTCTAAGCGTTGCGAGAATCGACTAGCGTCCATCTTCATCTCCCAGATACGGTACAAGTTGTCGTTGAACTCGAGGAGGGAGGCATCGAAGACTGTGCAGATGATGCCCAGCACGCTGAGGGCGAGCACCTCCGTCTGCTTGGACACCCCTAAGTAGTGACCCAGATGCATTTCCCCGCGACACCGAAATTTTGATTCATCGACCTTTGACGTTCCTAACGTCGCATAAGACAAATGTACGTACAATTGTTATTGTCACTATGACAATGCTCATTAGCAACCAATAATTGGGGAGATGCGAAACAAAAGTTTAATGAGTATAATTAATGAATAAACGTATTTCAAGCGTTACAAAAAACGCAATTTTATTTTACAAAATTATCGCCCTGTTTCTGCATCCACATTTATCCATCTGCAATTTTAAATTAATTATTTGAATTATTCGTAACATTCATATTAGATTCCTCGATGTAGGCAACCCAATGTTCGCTAATTCATATTTCCATGCAGTTGGTATCCCTTCATCAACGCTGTTTCTTGTGGAGTGGTGGGGATGATCAGTTGTTGACGCGTTTGCGTGCGTTCTCGTTTTTGAATGTTTCAAACTGTTGTGCAATCCGTTCAAATCCAGTGAATTATCCCGTGTTTCTCGAAATCAATCAACGGAGACGTGAAGGCAATTAACCGTGAGTAATTAATCCGTTATTTCGTCAAACAAACAAAAAATCGGTTTCACGTTTTTTTTTATTCTAAATTTTGTAATCTGTTTGCCTAATAATTTCGCTTCATTATTATTATTCACACTTATAATTGATTAAACCGTAAATTCATTAGAAATTAGGACGCGTCGAAAATGGCGTCTCTGTTGCTTATTTTTTGTTTTAGAGAAAGATACCAACAATTACAACAAAAAAAATATGGCCGGTTTTGCACGATGTTGGCAAAATTCCCCTATAGGAATTATAAATCATGCATATCAATATATTATTATAAATCTTTCGACGTGTACGCGTGCGTTTTCCGATTCGAACATTCGAAATGGTTACGAAAGCGCTGAAAGTTTATTGAATTTAGTTCCTAATACACGACAGATGGAGGGAAAATCGCTCGGCTTTTTAATTAGTGAGTTATTTTCAATTTTTGTAATTATTTAATAGTTTTTTCAATCATTCAAATTAATTCAAAACTTTGCAAAGTTTTTTTTGTGGTTAATCTGTAACTCGAAAAAAAAAACCTATAGGAAAGTTCGAGATTGAAGTCAGAAAGGTGGCAATGTAATAATAATATTTCGTATTGTTTTTTCATGTTTCATGTTAATAAAAAAATGCATATAAAATATTATTATTTATAAATTTAATGTATTTTCTATTTCTTATCAGAATACGTTTATAATTTATTCGCAGCTGCAAGTTTTATCTCTTTTCTTTTGTGCAGTGGGTTTTTGTTTTTCTAGAATTCTGTTTTTTTGTTGCAGATTTTGTTGAACACCTGCAGTTAAAAATGCGTGGCGCTGATTGGCCGAGACGCATCTCCCGATCGGATCACCATGGAAATGCACGCAGTCGTTTGTTGTGCGTGACCGCGAACACATCGTCGACTTGAGTCTCCCAAGAAAATTCAACATTATCCATTCATCTGCCGCCGCAATTAACAAAGGTTAGTGTATTAACACAATAATTAACCTCATCTACTGATTACCGTAATTTTCCGTTCTGTATTATTATTAATTTGTGCCGCAAATTCGATTTCCAATTCCACATTTCGAAATGACGCTTCGCATCCATTTTGAAATTTTCAACAACTTTTTTTTCCGACGCAACAAAATTCTATACCCAATAAACGCCAATTCTCTTTATGCAATCCCACAGCATTTTAATTCTATATTACCTACTCATAATTGCTTTACGCGATTGTTTTTAAATAAACAATTATCAATATTTTCTAATTAGAGATCAGCGCTCTCTATCGTCGAATCGATCAAACACTCCGATTTCGGTTGGTAATTGTTACTGCGTCTGCGTAAGTTCGCTCATTACTCGTTATTGTGCAATCCATTCAAATTTAACTAATTATTCTACATGTTTGGAGAATAAACATCGGTGAAACAATCTAATTAGATTTTCGTGTGACTAATTATAATTTAAATATTTTTATAATTGCAATATGCGTATTCCACGAATATCTCAATTGCGTTTTTTTTTATTGCAACATTAAAGCTGTTCGTTAATTAAGACTTGAATTTATTAGAAATTAGGCGTTTCTGCTCATTTTTTCCTATGAAATTACACAAAATTATTTAAAAATGTTAATAATAAAATGCATTATGATTTATAAATCTAATGTATTTTCTATTTCTTATCAGAATACGTTTATAATTTATTCACAGCTGCAAGTTTTATCTCTTTTCTTTTGTGCAGTGGGTTTTTATTTTTCTAGAATTCTCTTTTTTTGTTGCAGATTTTGTTGAACACCTGCAGTTAAAAATGCGTGGCGCTGATTGGCCGAGACGCATCTCCCGATCAGATCACCATGGAAATGCACGCATTCGTTTGTTGTGCTTGGCCGCGAACGCATCGTCGACCTGCGTCTCCCAAGAAAATTCAACATTATCCATTCATCCGCCGCCGCAATTAACAAAGGTTAGTGCATTGACACAATATTTAACCTCATCTACTGATTGTCGTAATTCCCCGTTCTGTATTATTATTAATTTCTGCCGCAAATTCGATTTACAATTCCACATTTCGAAATGACGCGTCGCATCCATTTTGAAATTTTCATCAACTTTTTTTTTTCCGGCACAACAAAGTTTCATATACAATAAACGCCAATTCGCTTCTTTGCAAATTTGATTACATCTTAATTCCATATTGCCTACTCATAATTGCTTTACACGATTGAATCTAAATAAACGCAATAACCAATGCTTTCCGATTAGAGATAAGCGCCCTCTATCGTCGAATTGATCAAACACTCCGATTTCGTTACTGCTGCGTCGGCGTGCGTTTACTCATTAGTCGTTCGGTTTTGAATATATCTATTGATATTATTATTTTTATATTATTTATTAGTTATATGGATGCAAGGTATTCAAAATACCAGGTTATTCTGTGCGTTTATCACGTTCGCAGTGTGTAACGCATGGAATGGCAAGACCGTCTGTGCTAAAACCTTCTCGAGGTGCATCCGTTAAGGTGGTTGTACGTATTCGTAATATACTACAAACCAACCAACAGATCACAGCGGATCTAGGGGCTCGCGTTTTCCCCGAAATTTTATTTTTTTGCATCGCGACAGGTGTCGTTAAGAAAAGTCTTGGCCATTAGCCGATTCTTAGTCTTACATTCTGATTTACAGTGTTTGTTCGTTATTTTGAAAACAAGTTTATGGCTTCGGCTCTTGTTCTTCAACCGTGATTTAGTTTAAAATTTTAATTATTATTCAGATCACGGGTGTGTTAATTTCCGGGAATTTTGTGCGTATTTTTTGCTAAATTTCGCGAGTGTTCGTGTGTGCCAACCAACAACGAGGGCTGAGATGGAGATGTGCGGAGATGCAGCAGTTGGCGATGAAGACATCAAGTAGTAAGTGATTTTATACCACACGGGATTCAAAACAAACAGCCCTCCCCCATCAGCTTAAAAATATATTTTCATAATTTTAATTATTACTATGTTTATTCAAAATTTTTAATTACCCTTGCTTCTTTTTCTTAAATTCTTTTCAGGTTTTCATAATTTCAATTACTGCGCTTATTCAAAATTATTACTTAATTTTGCATTTTTTCTTAAATTCTTTTCAATTCTTTTCAGGTTTTTATATTTTTAAATTAATGCGCCAATTCTAAATTATTAATTAATTGATTCCCTTTGTTCTTGTCCGTATTTTCGATTTATTTATATGTTTTAGTTTAGGTTGCGTTAAATTATTATTGATTTGGAAAAGATCTCAATTTAATTTCAATTGCTTTCATCTATTAATTGATTATATTTTAATCAATTTAAGTTTTGTTAATTTGAATGTGATTTTCTTTTCTCTTTATCGTGATAATAATCATTTTGTTAATTTGATTTTGGTTCTACATATGTATAATTTATATTAAAGTTGCAATGGCTTTAATATACTTTACTCATTGTATGTACTGAATGGTAGTTACTTAATTATTATTATATTCAAATATTTATCCTCATTTAATTACCCAAAGATAGCAAATGTTTAAATTATATTTTTCTAATTTTAATTTTATTTCTTTTCTATTTTGATATTTATAATATTACAGTTCAGGAAATTCTATAAAGAAGGGTTGGCCACCCTTAAGCAAATTCGTTTACTTTCAGTTTTTGGAAAGTTTCTCATATTTCCAAAATCTGAATATTGTATGTTGGTGTGTGTTGTTTTGGTTTGAATGCAAGCGAGCTCGCAACTGTTTGTATGTGTTTGAATGTATGAGCAAAAGTGTCTCGATTTGTGTTTGATTTTGAATGAATTGAATGAACGTTGGTTGATGTTATGATTGTGCTAGATTTTTAAGAAAATGTTAAATCTTCATTAACATTTTCAATTTGTTAGGTGCTTGATTAGAATTCTTGAACTGTAATAAATTATTTTCAATTTCAATTATTAATTAAACATTTGTTATTTCATACATTTCACCTTTTATTTTATTTTTTTATTAT